TTACGGGACCCGCGCGCACCGAGGACGCCGTGGAGCTGGACTTTTCCACGGAGCAGCCGGTGCACCAGGTGAGCCCCGCGTTCCTGTCCTTCACCATCGACGCCAACCTGGCCACGGACCCGCGGTTCCTCACCTTCCTGGGGTAAGCGCCAGCCCCCGGTCCCTCTGCCCCTGTGCCCTCTCCCGGCTCCTGACATCCACGCCCGCCCTGCCACCACTCCCCTCCCCTCCGCTCTTTTGTCTCTTCTGACACGGAAATTCTCTCTCTCTCTCTCTCTCTCTCTCTCTCTCTCTCTCACCCCTTCCAAACCACTCATTCCTCCCTACTTTATTCATTCAGCAGATGTTGACTGAGCGCCAACTTAGGGCCAAGTGTTAACAGGAAATTTAGGGAAGAAACTTCCCAACTGCCCGGCAGCGAACGCTCCGGGGAGAGGGACGAGCAAGTGCCGCCGGAGCTGTGAGCCTGGGTCTGCTGCACAGTGCAGGGCAGGTGCCCCTGGGGCCAGGCGGGCTCCGGGCTCCGGGAGGGGTTAAAAAAATAGATGGAAAATATCTCAAAGCTTACTTACTCCATAGGTACACTTTAAAATTATATCTCTAAAACATGGATATTGTAAATACACCTTTAAAGAGCAGTTTTAGGTTCACAGCTAAATTAGGCACAGAGATTTCCCATATTACACTTTTTTAAAGTCTAAATATTAAATAAATGAGACCAGGGAGACGATCGCAGTGCCTTACAGAGCCTTAATAAAAAGACACCTCTCCAAGTTGAGGCTCAAAATGTGGCACTGCTTTATCAGCTGTAATTTTTTCTCATAGGAGAAAGACCAAACCTGATGCAGGTCCCTGGCCCCTGCCCTACGCGTGCAGGCTGATCCCAAGATGGAGAGCTGCAGGGACAGTCACAGGTCTTCTGGGCCAGGTCATCGAGGCCACTCATCTAGGTCATGAGAACCTCCAGAGGCGGCCACACCTCACCCAACCCAGACAGCTAGGTATCTTTGGCCGTTGCCAAACACCTATATGCTGAACTTCCTGTGCTCACACTGTCAGCTGCCACTGCTAAGTTCAGTCATTTATTCTGCAAATAAAGGCAGGTAGCCGACTGGGTTAGAGATTGGCAGTCAGACCCGCCCTGGCTGGATTCCCAACTCTGCCAAAGCAGGGTGGCTTAGTTCTTAACGGGTTGTTTGGCAACTCCGAGCCTCAATTTCTTCACCTGTAGAATGGAACTTCTATAAAACTTCCTTGCAGGACTGTAACGAGGATTTGATGAGATGACACATAAGTACTTAGCACAGTGTTTGACACAGAGTGTTCACCAAGTAAGCTAACAGCTTCTTCCTGGAAAGTGGCAAGTGTTTGATAACCGTTCACCAGTTCTCATTGTATCTTTTGATCATAGTTAACCCCCATCTTTCCCTCTGTGGCAGGAGAGCAAGAATTTCCTGGTGGCGGAGTCCCCACTTTTCCCCTCCCCCTTAGGGGTAGGAAGGTGATACAGGTAGCAGCTGGTTGGGAGACAGAAAGATCTCTCTGAAGAAACTCTAAAGTATAGGCTACATATCTGAGGACCCCAGGCCTAGCTTGGTGGGGGTGGTGGGGGATGGTAAGAGAAGAGATGTTCTTGACTGAAAACAGAGGGGTTAAGTAAATGACCACTTACTGAAATGTGAGAACTCAGGTTCTATTCTGCTGTTGCGGCCAGGATCTGCCCCACCCCTCCCCAAGGAAGGGCATTTGGGGATACCTTCCTGGAAAAACAGGTCCAAAAGAAAAAACCTACAGTATGACTTTTGGGATCTAGGCCTGATCACCCTGCGGTTAAGCTAACCAATTGGCTGGGACCCTCAGCCCCCTATACACACAGAACTTCCAGTCCGCGATTTAGTGCACCTATCTCTTTATATCCCATAGCACTCTTTCTTCCTCCCTGACCCTACCCCCCTTTTTGTTAAAGGCTGGAGGATAATGAAAACCAAAAAAGCCCAACATGCAATAGATACAACTGATTTTGGTTTACAAAACACAGTGTATTCCTGTTCAAATGGACTTCTCTCCAGGGCTGGCTCCTGGCCACTCCAGATTCGTTCCTTAGCAGAGGCTGTCTTCAATGCCCACTCCCCAGAGGCATCTGCAATCACATCCACACTATTCCCAGCTGAGAACTCAAAGACTGCAGCTCCAAGTGGCAGGAGCTCCCTCTCCTTCTCCTCTAAGACCTACCTTCGGAAATGGGGTCTGAGGGCCCAGCTCCAGGATGGTTAGCACAGTGCCCAGAGTAGCCTGGCCGTCTCAGAAGACAAACCATTTAGCTTCCTTTTCAGAAGACAACACTGAGCTTAATATCTGTCCACAGGAAGGGAGGGTGAGAGGGGCATTGTTTTGTTACAGTTCCTCAAAAGTGAGGCTGTTTGGGTGAAGATAGCAAGAGCCCAGCAGATGAAAGCTGCAGTAAGGAGGAGCAGAAAATAAATTTAGCTGATGCTAATGAAGCCCTTGTCATAGGCCAGGCCCTGTTCTAAGCAGCTCCTAGGATCTAGGTATAAACTCATTTAGTCTTCACTACAAAACTCTGAGGTCAGTACTAGTATTATCCCCATTATAAAAAGGGAGAGATTGAGGCTTAGGGAGATTCAGTAACTTGCCCCTGGTCAGCCAGCTAATACTGGAAGGAGCAGAGTTTGAACCCAAATGCTAATTGCAGAGACAAGAATACACAAAAAGAAGGTAACGCAGTTTATACTTTTTAAGGCAACAGGATAGGATATACTTTAAAAAAAAAAAAGGTTGTCCAGACACAAACTGAGAAGATTGATATAGTGAAAGAAGCACTGGCCTGAGAGTAGGAGGAGCAGGGTCTAAGCCTCCAAGGTACTTCCAAAGAGGCCTATGCAAATGTAATCAGATGGCATGGTTCCGTTCCCATGATGGCAAACAGAGGGGGTTTTTTGGGTTGTTGTTCACATTTGCAATTAGAGAACACAGAGCACACAGAATGTAAATGCCAGTGATAGAACAATCTAGAATTAGAAAGAACCATCTTTTCAATTTGCCCTTTTCCCAGAAGTATCTAATCAACAGCCCAATCAAAAACTTCCTAAACCTGCCCTGGCCGGTTTTTCTCAGTGGTTAGAGGGTCAACCCGAGGACCAAAGGGTCACAGGTTCAGTTCCGGTCAAGGGCACGTACCTGGGTCAGCTAGGGTGTGGGGTGCATGTGGGAGGCAACCAAACTATGTGTCTCTCTCACATTGATGTTTCTCTCCCTCCCCCGTCCTCTCTCCCCTTTACTCACTCTAAAAAAAAAAAAATCAATGGAAAAAATCTCCTCGCCTTTAAAGATGGGTGGACTGAGACCAGTATTGCTCAGTAGAAATAGAATGTGATCCTCATATACAAGCTACACATGTAATTTTAAATTTTCTAGCAGCCATGCTAAAAAAAAAGGTAAAAACATGCAGGGGAAATTAATTTTAATAATATATTTTATGTAACAAAATGCAATTTCAACATGTAATCAATATAAAAATATTAATGAGATATTTCACATTCTTTTTCTAACCAAGTCCTCAAAACCTGGTGTATATTTTATACTCACACCACATCTCAAATTCAGACTAGCTACATTTCAAGCGCTCACGACCACATGTGACTAGTGGTTACCGTGTTAGACAATGCAGTCCCCATGTCAATCAAGCAAGGTTCACTAACACAGTGTAAAACAGTAGAGCGCTGAGTCAGTGATAGAGATCCTAGAACCACAGTGTAGTGTCCTGGTGCTAAACAGCCACAGCAACGATAATGCCATTGTGTTTGCTTTTCATAGGATTTGCTTATTTTTCTTCAGCAAAGTTCATCCCTTTTTGCCAATTTGATAAATATTTATTAATAATAACTTTTGATAATCAGATTACTGTATCTCCACAAAATTGCTTTTCATATTCAGAAAAGTCGTTATTTTCAATGTCAAGTGCAAGGTTTGATAACTGATGTTGGAAAGAGCAATAGGCCCTCTATGTGCCTGTTGCTGACAGAGGTAACCAAAGAGAAACAGGGAACTGAGAACAATCAAAGCCACGCATAGATTCACATTTCTTTTCTTTTTTTAATTTTGTTTTATTGCTTAAAGTATTACAAAGAGTAGTAATACTTTAAGCAATAGTAGTATGTCTCCTTTTCTTCCCCCGCTTGACCTTCCCCCGGCCTCCCCTACCCCTCAGCGTCTTGTGTCCATTGGTTATGCTTATATGCATGAAAAACCCAACCCTCCCCGGCTTTCCCGCTGTAGTGTGGCAGTCTGTTTGATGCTGCTCTGCCTCTGTATCTATTTTTGTTCATCACTTTATAATGTAGACTCACATTTTCTAACCTCTGAGAAGTGCTCCCCCTAACTGAGTGCTCATTCTTCTCTTCCTTCCCAAACCTTCTATTGTGGTCCCTGGAGCCCTTTGCATGGCAGCCCTGTTCTGTGCTCCTCACAGAATATGCCTGCCACCTCCTGGCCCTGGCAGAACTCTGAAGTAGAGAAGTAGATGCGACTCCTCTGGAGTAGAGGCTGGGCAGTCTCCATACTGCACTCTTCTCCCATTCCCCAGTGCAGCTTCCAGACAACTACCCACCAGTCTGAACTCCAGCCTGCTGTGGTTCAGGTCCTAGTGGCTTGGTGCCTGTGTCAGGTTCCCTATCTGTAAAATATGGATAATAATGACACCACCTCATTGGGTTGTTTTAGGATTAAGTGGAATAATCTATGCCACATGCCCCAGGCACTCAGTTTAGATGAACTTGATGCAGGCTAGAGATAGACGACTCTTATGACTGCAGGGTGAGGCTCCCTGTCTCCATGTCTGGGTCTCGTCCTCTGCTCCTTGTCACCGCGCGCGGCCCCCCTCTCAACTCACATGTTATCGATTGAAGACGGACACTGATCTCATACTTTCCTCTCCTTTCCCATGCCCCACCATCATCCTAGATGACTTCAAGTCCACGTAAATAAACTACCTCTCTATCTCTTCACACCCATATTTCAAAATAATCTTCACTCAGTGTTTCACTGGAATCGGCTTGCAGCAGCTTATAAAACGTGTGCATCTCTTTCCACCTCCACCAGTGACACCAGCACTGATAGCCTGAA